AAAAATTTGAAAAAGGGCTTGGTAGTTTATTTTGGAGAAAGTCAAACACAAAAAGACAATTATAAAGTTTTACAAGATTATGTAGTTTTAGGATTTTTAGTTCAGAAAATTCTTATTCGATATCTAATCTCATTGGGGAAAACGTCATTATTCTAATAAATGCGCGTTGTAAACTAGCAATGTTATTAAGTAAAAAGTTTTTGACCCCAAAAAATACAATAATAGCAATGGTGAGAAGAGAATAAAGAAAAATAACTCATTCGAAGAGTTTGGATAGGAACATAGTAACGAATTAGAGAAAGCATACTGTTAGCTCGTGTAAGTTTTTTTTTTAGATGATACAGTTGATTATACCAAGATAGGTTTTCATCAAGATATTTTCAAAATTCCAAGATTTTTTACCGTTAATTTTAATTTTAATATTTTCAATATTTTTTGAGGGGAATGAAAAATAATGTGTTTAGTTTTATTGACATTCAAGGAAATACGGTTACTATTTAACCAGGTACATAAGCAATGAAGATCTTGTTTAACTTTTTTACAAAGAGTCGTGAGGGATTTGTTGATATATAAAAGATTGGTATCGTCAGCATAATGATGTATCATAGAATTTTTTAATGAACAAGATAAATCATTTATATATAATAAGAACAAAAACGGTCCAAGAACGGAATCTTGTGGAACGCCATATTTAATAACTTTATGTGTGGATTCAAATCCATTAATTGAAACAAATTGAGTGCGATCCGTAATATATGAAGAAAATCAATTATTAGCAATACCACGTATTCCGTAGTAGTTTAACTTTTTTATTAGAATGTTGTGATCAACCGTATCAAAAGCTTTTTAAAGATCTATGAATACACCAAAAGCAAAAGAACCACTGTCAATTGCACCACGAATCATTTCAGTAATGCTAAAAAGAGCGTGAGAAGTGGAGTGATTTAAGCGAAACCCAAATTGTCGAATATGAAAACAAGCAGAATTAATTAAAAAGTTGTAAATACGAGAATACATCAGTTTTTCTAAAAGTTTGCTGACATTTGATAATAATGAAATTGGTCTGTAGTTATTACATTCAAGTTTTGAGTCTTTTTTATGAATTGGGATAACAGAAGCAATATATTTATTGAAGAAATTTCTGATATCAACTGGGAACCCTTCATTAAAAAAGGTGATGATGTTAAGAAATCCATGAATTTTTTTTTTTTTAATATTTGATGAAATCTTAGACCGACAAGCTCCTTATAAAATACTAACCAATCAACAAATTAAACTAAAATCAAAACCTTGGATTACGTATGGAATACTTAAATCTATTTCAGTTGAAAACAAACAAATTTTATAAAAAGTTTATAAAATCAAAAAATATTTATAAGAAAAATGAATTATTTGCAAAATTTAAATTTTATAGAAACAAAATTTCTAAATCATTAAAATTTAACAAAAAAACATACTTTATTACCTATTTTAACAATAATCTGAACAATATTAAAAACACCTGGAAGGAAATAAAAGAAATCATTAATATTAGACCTTTTACACACAATACATTTTTTATACTTAAATAGAACGAAAATCTTATCACTGATCACACTGCCGTATCTAATATATTCAATAATTACTTTAGCACTATACTCAACAAACTACTTAGCAAAGCCATACCCCCTAAACGCATATTTAGTAACTTTCTTAACATTCCAAATGCTTATTCGTTTTTTATTAATCTGGTAACTAAAAATGAAATATCTGGTCTCATTACAAACACGCCTAAAACAGAAAAATGTTTTGGTCATAATGGCTTACCTACATTTTTCTTCAAACTAGTCTCGCACATTATTTCAAAGCCTCTCTGTACTGTTATAAATAACTCATTTAAAAGTGGTATTTTCCCAGATATTTTTAAAGTTGCCAAAATTATTTCAATATTTAAAAAAGGTTCTCTTCTAGATTTTAACAAATACCGACCCATCTCTCTGCTTTCTAATATAGGTAAACTCTTTGAGAAGGTAATGCATAATAGGCTATATTCTTTTCTTGAAAATTATAAATGCTTTTACACCCATCAGTATGGATTTCGTGCCAATCACTCCACAACTCATGCTCTCACTGAAATGACTGAACTAATTAGAAAAGCACTTGATGATAAATGTTTTGCATGTGGTGTATTTGTCAATTTACATAAAGCGTTTGACACAGTGGATCATTCAATTTTGTTGAAAAAATTAGAATAATATGGGATCAGAGGCGTACCGCTTAAATGGTTCACTACATATTTAAACAATAGAACACAACTTGTTTCTATTAATGACTCAAAATTTACCCTTGTAAAATGTTCTAATAGTGTTCCTTAGGGTTTAGTATTAGGACCACTGCTTTTTCTTCTTTATATTAACGATCTTCATACATCCATTAAGTTTGCGACTGTTTACCACTTTGCTGATGATACTAATCTAATACTAATTAATAAATCCCTTAAAAAAATCAACAAATACATTTACCATAATCTTGCCAATCTAGTTCAGTGGCTTCGCTTCAACAATTTTTTTTTTTTTATAAAAATACATTGAACCTCTTTTATTAACTATGTATTTGATAAAACTACTTTAAAAATCATATATTCATCAGTTTTAACATACTTTTTATATACTTTTCAATAAAAAAAACGATGTTTTAAAAATTATTTATGTATTTCTTAAATATTTAAGTATATCAACTCAACTTTCAATTTAAATTAAGTCTAATGTTTAAAAAGATAAGTTAATGAAAATTTCAGATCAAATTCTGTTAAAAAAATAATAATAAAAGTGTCTCAGTATCAAACTGTCTTCAGTTTAAATCATTAATTAAAAAGAGGTCATCTTGACCTAATTCATCATTGTCAAAATACATGTCCTTTCCCAATTTCGCTAACATTTTGTTAGTGATTTTAAAGTTTTTACATCATTTGTTTCCGAAAGGTAGGCTTTTACTCGCACTTCACTGCTGAGCAATTTGTCTTATGTGTTGCTCTTATGTTGCTAAACAGTTCCACTCAGATTTTTAACAGTATTAATAAGGACAATCTAGCAATGGATAATTTAGTTGAAAGTTCAATAACTTATGCACTTCAATTAGGTATTGATCCCGAATCTGATTTTAAACGAGTTTTTAGAAGAAGACTACTGCCAAAAAACATAGATTACAATCCGAATTCTTAAACGAAATTTAGTTTTCATATATTTTATAGATCAGAGATCAAATAGGTTTTAAATACTCAAGTTTTTTGTCTTCTGAGCATTTAAAAAAATGTATTTTAACTGTTGAACAGTTATTTAATTTATTAAAAGCACCATTATCTACCAAATTCTTAGTAGATGACTTTTAAAAATTATAGAAGTATTTCCTCCAGACTGTGATGCATCAAAGATAACTGATTATGAAAGATTTTAATCTGAGTTTATAGTGCTGGTTCATCGTTGTAAAGACATTTCAGTTTTATCAGATATATTTAATGTATTAGAAATGCACAAGAAAGTCATACCAACTATAAATAAAATATCTAGATTATTGTTAACAGCACCCATAAGTACATCATCAAATGAACGATCATTTAGCAAACTAAAACTGATAAAAACTATTTAAGATCCACAATGCAAGGAGAACAGCTTCAAAATATGATGCTTCTTAATACTAAGCGTGTTTTAGTTAAATTAATATCAGAAACCAATTTACATTCCTCCGTTTTAAAATCTGCCGTTTACAGTTTTTTCCTTAACAGACACTCAAAGTCTCTCCCTTAGTTTAACAGAGAGATGAGAATACGGCTGCAGGACGAATCAAAACTGGATATGAAAATTTGAAAAACATCAAAATATAATGCCTAGAATACGTGGCAGAGCGATACGAGATAATAACAAATATTGAAAGAAAGAGAGAAATTGAATTATTGATTAATGCAAATAATGCATTAACTACGATCAACATTGCAGAATTGATGTCTGAAAAATATAAATGCTCGAGAACTACAAACAAAAGAAAATTAATGCAAATGTGTTATACCTGTAAAAGCTTTAAATCTGTCGTTATTGCGACAAAGTCATCTCAAGTAATAGCACTAAATTTCACGTTTTGAAATTATTTCCTTTTCTACAATAATCTGATCTGGTTTATATTGATAAAATCGGTTTTAATTTGCACAATTCACGACATTACAAATGTAAATTGTTGGGAAGACCCACTTTACAATCCGCACACAGAAAGGAAGAATTTTTGGCTTAAGAAAGTTACAGGACGTATTAGTTTTAAACTAAAGGTTGGGGCTTTATACAACCACAACCTAATATTCCACAATAAATAACTAGTATTATTACTGAGACTTTCTTATTCTTTTTAAAGACTTATTCTTTTAAAAGTTATTATTCTCAGATGCGTGAGTGTGTGTCAATAGGAATTCACCATAATGAGCTTATGTGATTAGATTATGTTTTTTTTTATTTGAAAATAATAGCGGACTAAACTGTATTTTAAACTGTATATAAAACTACAATTAAATAAAAAAAATGTACATCATATATTATCACTTAAAAATTTATCGCATTATACAAAGTTTAAAACAAAATAAAGCTACGACAGATACCTTTCGATCAGTCTTTTATTTAAATTTTAAAACAAAATAACGCTACGACAGATACCTTTCGATCAGTCTTTTATTTAAATTTTAAAACAAAATAACTCTACGACAGATACCTTTCGATCAGTCTTTTATTTAGATTTTAAAACAAAATAACGCTACGACAGATACCTTTCAATCAGTCTTTTATTTAAATTTTAAAACAAAATAACGCTACGACAGATACCTTTCGATTAGTCTTTTATTTAAATTTTAAAACAAAATAACGCTACGACAGATACCTTTCGATCAGTCTTTTATTTAAATTTTAAAACAAAATAACTCTACGACAGATACCTTTCGATCAGTCTTTTATTTAAATTTTAAAACAAAATAACGCTACGACAGATACCTTTCGATCAGTCTTCTATTTAAATTTTAAAACAAAATAACGCTACAACAGATACCTTTCGATCTTCATTCTTCGATCTTTCGATCTTTTATTTGGGTTTCTTTGGTTTAATCTTTATTGGGATTAGTTTTAAAAAGTCATGTCCGGTAACTTTTTGTAACCGGTTGATTGTTGTTTGCCTCTGCTTGATGTTATAGATTTTTGTTTGTCCGACCGGTAAAACACCATGGACAAATTTTTTCTAAATTGCTTACTCTGAAAACAGAATATCAAAGGGTTTATAAAAGAATTTGATAATCGCATTAAAACAAAGACTTGGGAGATCCAATTATTCCATTTCACGTTTTCTTCATTTAGAGAGCTCAGTACTAAAAGTATTCTGTTCGGTAATATACAAATGCAAAAGGCAACTGCTAATATTTTGATTGTTTTTATTGTTTTGACTTTACGAATTTGTAAAATATCGATTTTATTGACTTTCATAGATTTTCCAAAAAATATTTCAGTTGTTTTAAGAAACAAAGAGATTCGGTAAAAACAATACCAAACAATAACAACAGGTATTGCTGTGTCTAAAATAAAAATAACGAGTGTAAGAGTAATTTTTTTGGGTGTTTTGTCTAAAAAATATTTACAAAAATTTCCAAATTGCTTATTGTTGGGATCATATACTAAAAACCCTGCACATAATGATTCTGTGATTAAAGCAAGGAAAAAAATTAAAACCATTGTTGCAATTTTAGACTTTGTAGAATTTAGTTGAAACAACAAAAATTTTTGATACATTATTGCATTCCACCTTTCAATTGAAATAAATACGAGTAAATAAACTGAAGCATCAATAAACCAATACGGTAAAGAATACCCGGTAATAAATATACACATCAAATCACCACTAATATTTTGAGGATGATAATTTTGAAAGATATCAGTTGACATAATATAAGTTGGTAAGCTAAATAAAGATACCATAAAGTCAGCAAGTGCTATTGAAAATATAGCAATATGAAACAATGATGTGCGATTAATATTCTTAGATAGAATTATAACAATCATTACCACGCCATTCCCAATAATTCCTAAAACTGTGATTAATGAATACCAAGTTAGCTTCCAGTATTCTAATGAAAATCTCTTTATATTCTAAAATAAATAAAACATGTATTTTAAATTAAAAAAAAAAGAAATTACAGTGTAAATAAATTCTTGAGTTTTGTAGTTTTATTTACATGTTTACAAAACTTTTTATATAATAATATATGTTGCTTATGATTCTGTAAAATATAATTGCAATAAATAAATGTATTATTACATATTAGTTTAACAATAGATTGAAACTAAAAAACAATTAATAATAAATAAATAAAAAATTAATATACAAAGTATATTAAATTAATAACCAAAAAGTGTTTTGGTTGCGCCTTCTTTAGGTGAAAAGCTGAGTTAGTTAACTTTTTCCAAATTTAAAGAGCTTAATGAAGATTTATTGTCATACACCTACATATATACATACATACCAGGGGCGGATCTAGGGTTCGACAAATTAGGTGGTCGCCTAAGGAGAAATATTATTTTACTATTAAGATGTAATTAATTTTACATTTTAAATTTTTTATAGGAATTTTTTTATTATTTACAACTATGGCGTTGCTGACGAGAAACTTAACTACGACATTCGCGGGAGTGCTATAAACTATGACTTTTTGTTGTGGTTTTTTCAATTAGGCGAAATAAGTTTTAACTAACCTACTCTCAATGCAACGTGTATATTTTAATCAATTTAACTAACGAAAGCCTAAAATACTATGAAACTAAGTGGTCAATCCACATAATCTGATCTGGATCTAGATATAAAAAGTCTGTGCGTTAATTTTCCAACTAGAAAAAAAATTATAAACAAACCAATAAATTGTATAAAGGATTTCACAGTTACCATTAAAAAGTTCCTTAAGTGCTTTATTTATGATGTCTGACATTTTTTATAATGTACGAATAGCTTTAGAGCAAAACAAATTAGTTCTATTAAATAAAATTCGAAAGATGTTGGCAGAAGTTTATGTTGTCTGTATAATGAAATTCGAAAGAAGTTGGCAGAAGTTTATGTTATCTTTATAAATGAATTTCGAAGAAGTTGGCAGAGGTTTATGTTATCTTTATAAATAAATTTCGAAAGAAGTTGGGAGAAGTTTATGTTATCTGTATAAATGAAATTTGCAAGAAGTTGGCAGAAGTTTATGTTAACTGTATAAATGAAATTTGCAAAAAGTTGGCAGAAGTTTATGTTTTCTGTATAAATGAACTTCGCAAGAAGATGGCAGAAGTTTATGTTATCTGTATAATGAAATTCGCAAGAAGTTGGCAGAAGTTTATGTTATCTGTGTAAATGAAATTCGCAAGAAGTTAGCAAAGGTTTATGTTTTCTTTATAACTAAAACATGCATTAATCTTTTTTTATTTTCATTATTTTCATTTCGTAGTATCTTAAAATAAGATATATTGCATTGTTTTGAGAAATAAAAAGCTATAGTTTTTAATTCAGCAGGTTTTAAGCTTAAATTTTACCAAGATTCAGCATCGCAAATCTTAAAAGCTCAAAATTGGAAAAACTTATACCCATTCAGAAAACTATTGCATTGTAACCATTCAGAAAACTATAGTAATCATTTATAACGCATTTTTTACTTTATGCTATCAGGCAATAAAGCAGCAAATTATCTTCAGTGAAAATAATTTGTCTGCAATTTTATGAATTTGCAAAAAGTGAAAATTTTTTTTTCTCTTTTTGTTACATTATAAAAACATATGCTTGGTTTAGTGACATACAAACTGCTAGCATAGTTTTGCGATAATACTGCTGTTACATTTGTATATGTAAACATATAAATATATATATATATATATATATATATATATATATATATATATATATATATATATAATATATATATATATATATATATATAAAATTTATACATATGTATATATATATATATATATATATTTATATATATATATATATATATATATATATATATATATATATATATATATATATATATATATATATATATATATATATATATATATATATATATATGTTCATACACAAATATATATAAATATATATATATAAATATATATATATATATATATATATATATATATATATATACATATATATATATATATACATATATATATATATATATATATATATATACATATATATATATATATATATATATATATATATATATATATATATATATATATATATATATATAGATTATAGATATAGATATATAGGTTCTATATAAAAAAGATATATACATAAATCACAAAAAAGCTATGCTAATAGTATGTAATTTAATAAGACAAGTATTTGTTTTTTATGGTGTTATAAAAAGCATATACTTCTCTTAGTAAAATACAAACTGCTAGCATAATTTTGTAATTTGCTGTTGTGAATTTTGTATATGTAAACATACATTTTTTAAAATTTAGATTTGGCATAATGTCAGTTATAATATAAGCAACACTCCCATTAAAAATACAATGGATTGGTGTTGCCTAAAGCTTGATGCTTACCAATAAATGTCAGTTATATATACTTTTTATTAAACAGCCTTTTTTTATTTAAGTTATATAGTTAAAGGATATTGCTAAAATTCGAAAGTTTTCACAGTCTAAGAATTTTTTTTTTTTATATTGGTTTAGTTATTCACCATGTGTTACCTACGAATTATCTTTATTTAAAAATAAAAAATTCTACAAGATTGTAAGTTTATTTTGCAAATGTTTTGTTTGCATTATTTGATTTTATTTTAGATCAAACCTCGTAACTGCCTTTATAGTTGAGCTATTGTTTAAAAGGATTTGTTAGTTGTTATTTTACGGGTTCTTACTACAATAAAATTGTTTTATTATTTGATATTTTTTTAATTGGTGTTATGCCGGTTGTCAATAGAATTATACCTCAGAAGAATACCTCAATAGAATTGAATAGATGACATGTAAATGCGACGTTTTATTCAAAGATTCAAAATTTGTTGGTACAATTAGCAGTTTTGGCGCCAAAAAGTCTTGATCCACTACTGCACATTGCCATAATAAATTATATTTTATATATAATCCCGGAATAAAAATGACCAGGGTAAAACTCTTTTGTGCAAAGTAAACAGGGAGGAAGGTAATAATAAATAAGGTGAAGTGAGAATTCTTCAAAAATATGAATTCGCGTGGATGGGAAAAAATTCACAATGGATTAATTGGTAAGAGGCGTTCCCTTAGCATCTGACGGTACTTTTGCATGAAAAGGTTTTAACACATCTCTAATACATACATAATATATACATACATTTGCCGAAATTAAAGATAGTATTTTTATATACTAATTTTATAGATAGTATACTATCACGTGACGTTGAAATTTGCGGACGCTATATATTAATCATATCTCACCATATATTAATTATATTTTACAATATAATTAATTTTTTTCTTAAAGTAAAAATCTGTTTAATAACTTGTTTTTAAAAGTGTATTAAAAGTAATGTGCTAGTAAGTAAACTGTATATAAAGTACTCCATAAAAATAGACTTATTTTTTTGTGTTTTACATTTTTAAAAGGTTCTTTATTTTAAATATTTTTGTTAATTT